TTTGTGATAATGTAACAACTATTTTACTGAAATAAGGGAATTATTTTTACCAAAATAAAGGAACAGAAATATTCAGCTTATTAAATGCATGTTTGTATACATTTATTATATTTTCTCTGATTTAAGCCAGTATTTTTTCTTGCAGTTTCAATTTGATTTTTTACATCCAAAAGATAATCCCTGACCTTTCTCCTGTTTTAAGAGCAATTAAATAATGAGTAACACTAGTCAGTGTCCCGTGACATACCCAGGAGCGAAGTGTTCCACAGAAGCAAACTTTGCAGAGGTCTGAGTCTCCCGGATCATTTCTGTGCTCACGCCCTGCTCTTCTTTCTCCTTCCTGTCAATTTATGCTATCTGATTGGATTTTGTGTATTCTTGTAAGTCTTCCTTAATCTTTGCTGGAACAAGGCAAGGCATGCATAAATAAATACATGCATTACAAAAACTTAAGCATAGCAAATAACTGCATGAGTCTTACCTTATTAAAGCACCAAAACTTTTTAACTGGAAGGAAAATTTTTCTGAAGTAAACAATGTTTCGCCACCTTTAGAAAATATGCTGAACATCAAGCAAGCTTGGGCCTGAAGATCAAGGTCATCCAGGTAAAGGCCGAGTCCCTCACAGGGTTGTCCTGAGTGGCAGCCTGGGGACCTGCGGGCGGAATGCCTGTTTGCCAGTATACTCCCTGGACTGTATAGTCCAGGTGTCTGTATAGTCCTCCTGTCTGTTTGTTTGTTTGTTTGTTTGGGGTAGTTTTGTCTTTTTTTCTTTTTAAGTTTATATCCTCCGTGGTCAGAGACTGTTTATCCTGCTATCTGCTGTTCCAATTTAGTCTCTTTTAGGAACAAGAAGGAAAAAAAGGGTGGTAGGGGAAGGGGCACCTGGGTTGCTTCATGAGAAAAAAATTTTAAAGGAATATATGCCCAGGAGCCCAGGGCAGGCAGAACACAGAAGAAGGTAGGGTTTGTGCGGGCTCTGTCCTTTTCTGGCTTTGTGGCCTCTCTGCGTGGATGGATGTTCCCTGTCCCTCCCAGCTTTCCCCACTTACCCACAGTGGCCCCTCCTTCTACAACTTCAGCTTGCAGAGGGTCTTTAGTTTGTCATCATCCTGACACGGGCCCCCAAACTACCTTTCAGCAATGCTGCCCATAGCTGCTTGGAAAGTTGCCTCCAAGTTTCTTGAGTCAAGGTCTAGAGAGAGAAGAGGAGGGAGAGAGAGAAAGAAAGAAAATCTGACTCACCCAGTTCAAGCTTGCACACCACCAAACCACACCACCCAGGTCACAGGTCACTAGCAAGCCGTGAAAGGATCTGATTGACCCAGATGTGTGTACAGTCACATTCCAAGCAAATGTTGTCACAGGGTTGGTGTCTTAAAGCTACTGCCCCATTAAAAAGAGATGGTGAATAAGAACAAAATCTTGGAAGAGGAGACATTGCAGGTACTCCAAACGTGGGTCACTTGGCAGTTTGTCTGATGCCTTAATCTACACACCATTGTCTTGGTGACGCTGTGAGGGCACTTCTATTTGCCTCTTCAACAGAGAAAAAAATGCATGGGTTTTGCAATAACCATTGTCCTTTCAACCTCATTGTCATACACCTATAAATGTATTTGTGTATGTAAGGTATGGCATATGTTTTGCCTTTATTACCATACACTTATAGATGTGTTTACGTATGCCTATAAATATTTGTGTATACACATACTCGTGTGTTTAAGATGACATTTTTCCAGATTCCATTACAAACACTTGGGGAGCTTTACTTTTTTAAAATAGACTTTACTTTTTAGAGCAGTTTTAGATGTATAGCAACACTGGGGGAAAAGCACAGAGATTCCCCACATACTTCCTGCCCTGACAGGGGCGCAGCCTCCCCCGTTATCAACAGAGGGATTTATGGGAATAGCGAGTTTCCTGGTGTTGGCGCGTGTGGGCAGCATGGTTCCTGCACCACAGCTGTTTCACTCTCCACCACAACAAACATTTTCCGGGCACGGGTGCAGGCCCTCGCAGCTTCCCATCACCTCAGAAACACAAACAGCACGAGGGCTTCCTATCGTCATGCACAATGTGCTCCTGAAAACACACACCAGTGTGAGGTGTATTAAATTCAAGAGCGGATGTGTGTTTTTTAAGGAGAGGTTTTTGTTTTCAGAGAGCTAAAATACACTATAAAAATTCCTAATTGTGCCTTGTCTCTTAGATCTAGTCTTAAGCTAGAATGCCAGCATTTAGTAGATGTTCTTTTAAATTTGGGCTTCTGCATGACAGCTGAACAGCTGGCCATCCAAAATCCAAAAGGCAGCTTTCTGATTTGGATGGGTCTGTATGGGCCTCTCCGTGGTTCACTAATTGTTTTTCTTTATCTGTAAAACCAGACAACGACAGTACCTCCATCATGCATTTCTCCCATAGTACTGTGAGAATGTGGTAAATTAAGTCCTAGAGAGCAGTTAGAAGAGTGACTGATGCAGTTCTCAGTATGAGTTGTCATTATCAAGGCTAAAGATCCACCACCTTGTGCACACCTGATGATCTTCTTTGTCTCTGTTGTTCTAAATTTTGAGAACTACACTTCTCTTTACTGGTGTTTCCATTTATATTTTTCTCACATTTCACTAACTTTCATAAAGCAACAAGGCTAAATGCAACTTAGTTGGAACATAGCTGTTCAATGCCTCTTGGTTGGCAAAGATGGAACGGCGCTGTGAGATGAGCTGGCAGGAAGGGTGCCCATGAGATCAATACAATGTTCCTTTGTTACCTGGCTTTTTGCCTGATGCTGCATCAGAAGGATGGCTCAGGTGCATTAACTTGTAGTGTCCTTATCTGTGCAGAAGTGAATGCACCCGGGTTAAGGGCACCAGGAGGATGCTTTGATAAAGGTATTGGTAACAGAGGAGTTCTATATTTGACCAAGAATGTGATTCTAAAAGCAGCTCCTCTAACTTAAGTACAATATTGCTCCAAATGGCATAAAATGGATATAAACGTGCACTTATTTAAAGGACTTGAGTGATTGAAAAGTGTGCTCTAGCACATAAAAATACCACCACCCAGCTATCACAAATCCTATCAATATAAATTTGCCCTAAAATAGTATCCCAACTCCAATAACTTTTTTCAATAACTATTACTTAAATATTTCATTAAAAGTTTTTTTCCTTAATTTCCATTGAGTTTAAAAATTTGGAGTGGGTGTGAGAGTGCTGGCTGGGGTGGGGAGATGCTTAGGAATAATTTATAAAGAAATAGAAGTAATGTTTTTTCTTTGATAAATTTCCCTATAGCATTAAATTAGTCGAAACCATTCTCCTAGGCACCTGGCAGGGAAACAAAACAAAACATCAGAATAAAAAGTGACTGTGTTACCAGAAAGGGGCCTGGTCCGGAGCGGGTATGCCCGGGGCCAGCTATAGTGTGTGTGTTCTTGACTTCGTGTAGGAAAGATTTCACAACACGAGTCCAGATGACTATGAGGATGTGCTTATTAAAGGTGGGTCAGTGAAACAAGGACGGGCCTAACATAGAAGCAACAGGAGAGAGCCTAGTCTGGGCCGCCTTAGCTCTCTGGGAAGTCAGAGAAGAGGGGGCTTTGGGACAGGTTCAGGGGGTTAGCCTGGGACAGGCTGCAGCTGCCCACTGCCTTAGAGTTTAGAAGTCTTGTGCCTGTGAAGGCAAAAATGGGGGGGAAAGAGGGGAAAGGGAATGGCATGGGCTGCTCCCTGGAGGGAGAGTGCACGCTGGGTCCTTTGTCTTGAGGCTTTTATCCCTTTCTCCCCGCAGGCCAGAAGTTTAGGGAAGCCCTCAGGCAGGGTTTTAGTAGAATATTCAGCAGTTCTCCAGGTGTGCCCTTTTAGGGCCAGGTCTCCAACTGACTGACTGGTCAATGACAGAGCAGGGGTTGTTGGTCATTGTGGTTGGTTCTGGTGTCCACCTGGTTTTGCTGCTTTTCTGGGCCTGGAGCTGAAATACAGCTGAAGCCTAGATGTTATCTCCAGGGAGGTGACCTTCTCTATCCGGCTGAAAATTGCTCGGCCACTGAGTTCAGCTTTCTGTCTCAGTTTCCCTATTCCACTTGCCAGGGAATTTTCCTAGCTTCTACTATCCTGTCTCAGTTGAATGGATAAATTAAAAAAGAAGGAAAGGAAAAGTCTAGTCACTTCTGTAGAAAAAGTCTAGTCTACTTTTGTAGAAAAGTGACTAGACTTACATTTTTTTGAAGTCCATTACTATTGGTTTACAATCACAAAAGAAATATGCACTCCTTATTATAGAATAAAATATACAAATTTAGAGTTTGTAAAATAAGAAGTGAAAGTGTACCTGCATACACTTTCTCCCTCAATATTTTAAACGAGAGAATCCAAGAGGAGGCTCCCAGTTTAGTGAGTTCCGAGTGAGGTATGTTAGACACATTCAGATGGAGCTAACAGAGGTTCCCTGGTGTCTCTGGGAGAGACCGGTTGAACCTCTGGGGAGATGTCAGGTCTGATATTGTTTGTGCCTTTGGCAGTTTTCCTCTTGTCCTCTTGTTGCTTTTGATGCCAAATGACTCCTTCCTAAATTTCTCTCCCTTCTTATCTCTCTGTTGGCAAGGCTGGGAGGAAACAGGTTTCTTCTGTATCTTTGGTGGGAGTATAAATAGGTAAAAGCTCTCTGGAAAGCAATTTGACACCTTCGAGCAACATTACAGCATTGTGCAGTCTCTTTTCCAACCACTCTGCCTTTGGGAATTTATCCAAGGATGTAGATGCACAATGCAAATTAACATATGTTTACAAAGCATCATTGGCTAGCAAAAGATTGGAAACAACCCAAATGTTTATCATTAGTGGAACTGGTTAAATATATTAGGAGACAACATGAAATAGTATTTTTTTTTTAAATTTTGAAGAGGATTTAAAAGAGAATGAGGAATTACTCTCTGAACCGATATGGAAAGATTTTTGTGATGACTGATAAGTTAAAATTTAAAGAGCAAAGTACAGATGTTCCGGCAGCACAAATACTAAGAATGGAATAATATAGAGAAGATTAGCATGGCGTCTGAGCAAGGATGACAAGCAAACTTGTGAGGCATTCCACATTTAAATAAAAACAGACATACAGAATAGTATGTCTATCAAACTATAGTACATATGTGAAGCAATAGTATGTCTATCAAGAACAGTATGTAGATCAAGCTATCTTTTGTGTAAGAAAATAAGGATGGAGAAATAATAGATTAGTGTTTATGTGTACATGAACACATCTTGGAAAAGACACGAAGAAACTCAAGCACAAATAGTATTTGTTAGATGTAGGAGCAAGGGCAGGAGCAAGACAGTATGCTTGGATGTGTTTTATATGGTGGATTTTTGAACCGTTGTAAACATATTATTCAGAAACACTTAAAATATTGTTATCAAGCAGATTATATTTGTTACCTATGGCAGAATAATACAGAGGATTTGAAGGGGTCTTGTAAACAAAGATTTTGAATGCAGGAGGAGGGCTTCTCAGAGTGGCGGCATATGAATTGCCTGGTCTAAACGATTGAGTTAGAAAGTGAGGAGTTAGCCTAAGATCTTCTGGCTGTTAGGATCTGCGTAAGTGAAAGCCCAGGGATTTGAGAGCTTATTGAGTTGACTGGAAATGCTTCTCCCTGGGATACTTTCTCAAACTCATTGAGAAAATAATGAGCTGAGATTCCACTTTGGTGTCTTTGGGACTGTAGCAAAATGAATTTGGTTTCTCAGTCTTCACTCACTGTAAAATGTAATTTACCTTGCATTGAATATACTACTGATTCCTTGCTCAGGCATGTCAGTGTTCATCTTTTGTTCATCTTTGATAAGAGTCACCATGTAAATGTGAAGTTACCTGTGCTGGGAAAATTGAATCCTAATCCATTTTAGGACTGGACTTATCAGAAAATTCAAATGATTAGCACTGGCTGGTGTGGCTCTGTGGACTGAACGCTGGCCTGTGAACTGAAAGGTCACTGGTTTGATTCCCAGACAGGGCACACTCCTGGGTTGCAGGCCAGGTCCCTAGTTGGGGGTATGCAAAAGGCAGCTGAGCGATGTTTCTCTCCTTCTCTTTTTCCTTCTTTTCTCCTCCCTCTAAAAAAAATAAATGAAATCTTTTTTTAAAGAAAATTCAGATGATTCAATCTGATTTTTCACCTCTTTAACCTTAGTCAGAAATAGGTCTATTGCATCTGAAGATTCAGGTTTATGAAATTATTTAAGTATTGAACTTGTCATAGTGTGTGCCTTAGTTACATTTCTTATCTTTACATCTTGTTATCCTTTGATTTCCATTTTGATTTACATCTCGTTATCCTTTCCCTTAAACAGCAGGAAAGCAGCTGAATGTTACATGATTTCTGTTGACAGGTAAAGAAAAGTCAACTTGGTTTTTGCTCAATAATTCTAAAATGAGTCATTTTAGAACCTTAAAAAATCACATTAATCCTGTTGCTTTGAAAAGAGTGCTCTTTAGGGAAGTGGATTCAATTATGTTAAAATCAATCTCTCTTTCTGTCACACACATGCATGCACACCCTCCCCCCATCTATGCAAAAAACAAAAAGCTTTGAAGGAAATATTAAAAATGTTTACATTGATGGCATTCAGATGGGAGGGCAATGAGTGATTTTTCTTTTCCTTTAACTATTTCTGTATTTCTCAAGTTCTATTTAATGAGACGAACTACTTTTATAATAAAAACAGAAAAGTGAAACAATCAAAGCACGTGTTTAAAGGCAGAGTTTGGTGAGCCAAGCTCCAGCATGCAACTCTCCTCTCTTTGTTTATCCCCCAGGAAGCCCTGAGTGGGCCTGCGGCCGCCGTCCCTTGTCTCAGTCAGAGACCTGTGGTCACCCGTTCTGAAGCCTTCACACTGTTGGACCCGGAAAGAGAAATGGATGCCTGATATTCCTTTCAGTTAGTTAACCCAGATGCATCTGGGCCTTCTATAGTTCCTACCGTCACTCCAAGATCCTCTTCAGGCCTCACTCAGCACTTGGCCCTCTCCCTCAGTCACCCTCCTCCAAAACAAGGAAGCAGGTCCAAACCTATAAGCAATCTTGGATAATAGAGAGTTCACTGACATTTCTTTGGGGAAGTCAGGCGAGCTCCTCATAAGACATAGTAAAATTTCTCCCCAAATATCCGTACATGCTTTTTTCAAAGTCCCTCCCCCAGCAGCTGCTTCATCCCCTTTTTGTCCAATTGCCTCCTGGGAACTCTCATGCCGACATTGTTCCTTTCTTCCTTAGCTGGCATGTGCCACCCAGGAAAAGAAGGTCAGTTGTCAGCCAAATTTGAACCACCTCATCTTCTTCAGGCGTGTCTCCAAGGTCTGTAGTTCAACTGAATTAAGTTTAACAGTTCCTGGAAGCTGGAAGAAACTTATGTTCTGTTTTATACCCTAAGCAACACAGACATGAAAACTAGTATGGGATTTGTGCAAAACATGGCTATCAGGATGAATTCTTTACTCAATGCCCTGTGAGACAGAACCACTCTTAGGTGCCGAACTAGGGCAGCTTGGAGACTGGGTCGGATGTGAGGTTGCTCAGTGTGTGGGTTCAGCGGGACCACCGAGCCAGGTAGGCTCGAAGCCTTCTGTCCCAGAAGGTGGCAGGCCGGGGTGTGGAGTGTCATTGGCCCCAAGACAAGAGGACAGATGGAGCCCACAAACCATATGTCTAAATATCATAAAATTATAAATGAAGCTAAAAATAAATAAAATATGTTCTGTCCTCCTACCTTGACAAAAATACCTGCAGTACAACCTGGAAGGTTTAAATTTAGAACGCTTGGACTCCTCAGAGTTCCTTGTCAGAATGTGGCAGCACCGAGAGAGCCAGCCCACGCCTGGACCCTCCTTCCCATTGCCTTTCTCTTCCCCCTCTCAGCAGGGACCCCTTGTATGTCCATACGACTTCCCCAGCTCTCACATCCAAGTTCTTTCCCTGCTGCGTCAACGCCCACCCTGAAGGCTGTGGTGCACATACCAGCCTTGGAACGGCTGACCTATAAAACGGACTGGAAGCAAGCTTGGGGATGTTTGGGCAGAGGATCCTGAGGTCCTATGTATTGTCCCCAAAAAAGGGACAAAGCCATGTTGTTCACTCCTAACTCATATCTTTGAAGGTCCTCCCCTAGATGACTTGGGGAAATATAAGGTCAACGTCACTGTTTATTAGCTGCCAGCACTGCTAGGAGGCAGGTGGGTGGATTCCATGTCTGCTGAAGGTTATTATGCCAACTCAGTCTCCTCTGCTGAACACGGTGTTGGGGGACCCCAGTGGGCCATGGTCTACCTCTTACGCTTTTAGTGCCCTTTGGCAAGCTTCTGACAAGAAGCAAAGTGCCCCTCTGTTCCTCCCAGCTTTCTGCCCTATCAGGGATGAGGACCAAGGGGGAAGATCTTTCAAGGCAGAGCATATTAGCAGGCAATTTTAGTTTCCCTCATTAGGTCACAAAGAACCGTCCCTGGTACCTAGGCTGGGAGGCAGAGGTGGAGTGTGAGGAGAGGAGTTAAACATAAGGACTGGAGAAGGGCCACCACGCATGTTGTCTCTGCATCTGGGGTTCAGGTGGGGTCACAGCTGTTGGGAGGCAGGAAGACCAACTGTAACACCCCGGAGCCTTCAGACCCTTGTCAGGTGGTGTGGGCCCAGCCAAAAGCAGACAGGGCTCTTCTGGAGGTCCTTAGTTCAGAACTTCAAAGCATGTGGTGGGAGCGCCCAGAAGCTGAGCACAGGCCCTGGGGCTAGATGTTCCCCTGCAGCCCCTTTCCTTCCCCTGACTCAGGCTGGGAGGGAGATTGCACCAGCTTCTTCTCATCCCCCATCTCGGCTGCTAGGGTCTGAAAGTCTCTGCCTTGAAGACTGCTAGTTCCATGTGATCTCAGCCAGTAATGACATAAGGACTGGACACGAAAACTCCAGAGAGGGCCTCCCCTCAAGGCCTGCCTTTGCAGAAGAAAATGTTCTGGGGTAGGGCAGTTGGTGAGAAGTTAAGGAGAGTCCATAACGCCTGACCTTTCTTTGAAGTATACGAGAGTATTCCTCTCATCCCCATCAAAAAACATACTTAGAAGTAAGTTTGCTGTCTTGGTTTTGAGCTAAATGTCATTAACTTGATACTTATTCCTCCACTTGCATTTTCATTTCAAAAATAAAGTCACTGGGAAATGCCACTGGAGTTTGGAAAGAGATATGGCTAACTCCTGAATATTATGGGTTGAACAAAACAGAGGCCAGGCTTGCCATGGGCTCTCATAATACCATCCTTAGGAAGCCACGGTTCACTCCATCACTTACGCTGTGAAACGCCAGCAGTGGTCCCAATTAGTGAGAGACAAAACCTTGTAGGGCTAGAGAAGGGGTAAGGGAGGGAATACGTGGCATGCCATTGATAGTAACAGGAAGTAATAATGAAGAGAAGCCTTGAAGAAGTTATTCTAGGGTCTTTATACTAGAGTCTAACCTCCAAGATCTACTTTGCTTTTATGTGTGCCTAACATGATTCATGGGAGAAGATCCCCTTGATAACCAGCTATCATAAGAAATAATATGCATGTTATGAAGCATCTTTCTGAGATGACCTCAAACTTGAATTCTGTGACATCACAGAGTCACAAAGCACAAGTCAGCCCTTAGCTTGGATTTTACAAAAAGATAAATTGACATCATGAAGGATTACCAGATACAATAAAGGACACTTTTGCTTTTATTTGCTCAATCTGGCAACCATGGGTCCCCAAATTGCCAATTTTCTCTGATTTCTTAAAAAATAAAAATTCCTTAATGTGTGGGACATCTGAGGTCTTAGAAAAACATCACATGGGGCTACACATAAAATGAAAAGGGCCCTGGCTAGTGTGGCTTGGTTGGTTGGAGCACCATCCCATAAACCAAAAGGTCATGGGTTCGATTCCTGATCAGACCACATGCCTGGGTGCCGGGGTCAATCCCGTCTTGGTGTGTACAGGAGGCAACTGATCAATGTTTTTCACAGGTGAGAATTAAAAAAAAAAAAGAAAATGAAAAGAAAAACTCCCATGGAAAACTAGAGTGTCTCTTCCAGTAGACA